GATCAACTAACTCCAAATTTGTTGGCTATTTCTAAATTATTAATCTTTGGAAATTAATGTACATAGGTATTGAACAGAATTAAGTTAAAAGTTGATACTGTTTTATTTTTATTTATTTTCCGGTTGTTGTTGTTTTTTCTTTTTGTTTGTTCTTGTATATTAATTCTAAGGATATCGTTTTGATAATTTATTATTTAAAGAGACAACAAATACTTAGTTATTTATACTAAATTACTTAGGTCTTATTGAAATTATATACAAATTATGTTATATAGAGATAAATAGAGAACATGGAAATCTCTTAACTAAGTATTCCTATGTTAGGTTTTGTTCGAGGGGTCAGGGTTTATAATTTTGCTATACAAAATATATGAATTAATTATAATTACTTTCTTAAAAACGTTTTCTTACTTGGCAAAACTTTCTAAACAAATTTGTTTTTTTTTATTTGTTTTTGTTCTTTAATATTCATTTGTTTAAAACAAAGGTACAGTAAACTTCATAATTATTATAAACTTTATCATGTGTGTATGTATATTTTTATTATTAATGTTTAATTTCCTCTCATGTTTAGTTAGTTTAGTTTATCGCATACAAAATATCATTTATCGACTGTTGCCAAATTTAGAAGTGTTCTAGTATTTAATGAGGAGAGGGTCTCACGTTTCACGAGATAGCTATTACATTTGGAGTTTAGCAGTAAGTCATTAATGGAATTCGGAATTATTAATATTAGGGGTTTTAAATAGTAAATGTTTCAGTTATATCATAACTATATAGATGGGACAAATTGCACACCGACCTTTAATGTTTCGATCAGGCAATAGACAGACATGGCAAAAATGTATTAGATACATTACAGAAATATGTTATTACGAAATTGTCAAGAAAATGACGAAAACCCACAAAGAAAGCACCAGAAATAATATAAATGATCCCAAAAATCTATTTCAGATTATTTTCGTGCACATTTAGTCAATGAAAATCAGCGAAATCCCTATAAAAAGTCAGGTCTGTTAGATTACAACATAAGGTGTATGAAATATTTTTTACTTCCAACGCCATCTGTTGAATCAAATCAACAATGAAATGTCCTACCTTTAAGTATATCAAATGCACAAAGCACAATTCAGGCTTCGTCATAAGCAGTGTTATTGCAACTTTTGGAGTAACAAATACGTTACTTATACATGCTAGAAACATTAAAATACATGTGTCGAATAAATCTGTATTGGGATTCGAGTCATCGAGTCAAAAATCGGTAAATTTAAAAACCATAATTTTGATATAAAAAATAAGTTAAAGTTGACAACATCGGTAGGTCTTAACGACTACTTTGATTTTTTTTCGCTAATTTACCGAAAATTTTCTTTAAACAGCGAAAGAATATGCATTTTAATTTTAGCGGTAACTAAAAATATGATTTAGAGAATTCCACTACTGGACAATTATCTTTGAATATTCTATTTTTAAACATTGATTGGAGATTATGTTTAAAATTGTTATCAATTCGATCTGTCTCTCCAAATTTCCACCTAAAATAGCTTCTAATAACAGGCTGTGCTTGTATTCGGCAACAATGAAGTTTCAATTATAGTTTACAATTTGTAGAGAATTTCATTCGTTGTTATTAAAGTTGTCCATCTGACCACTTTCAGATGATTAGTCGAAACAATAGTTAATACAATGACATACTTGATAGTGGTGTAATCATGCCTGGATGTGAATTCGCCATTCGTTGAATGATAACATCCCCGTCCCCTTGATTAAAAACCCACACAAACACACACACATAATTGAATGCTATTGCAACAGTCGATATACATATATTATTACTATTACAAAAAGAAAAAAGCTCGTATAAAAACTCAAAATGGATAAATGTATGTAAATGAATTTAACAATGGACAAGCTTAGCTTTACTCAAAAATAAAACACTTTCGAATTTCTGGAAAACCAACTCAAAATGAAAACTAAATTGCTTAAATACTATGGACGTAACTCCGGGATGGGAAAGTGCAAAAAGTGCGTTACTGTTTCGTTTCGATTCATTTGTTTGTTTTGGTTTTATTTTTTCTTTTGGTTTTTCATTCATTCTTTTGTCATCGGCTGCTTGCAAGAGTGCATTAAAATGTTAATACAATTAAAACAAGGTCCAATAAAGCGCAGCTTTTGATTGCCAATTGAAACAAAAGTCTTATCGTTAATTCTCTGTCGTATTCAATGCAAGTGAAAAAAGAAAATGCCAAATCTGTTTTAATTTTCTTCAGAACAATAGATAGATAGATAGTCAAGTGCTCTACGCAATGAGTGTTTTTTTTTTTCTTTTTCTGTTTGAATTTGTTCAATTAATTTGTTTTTTAATATTTTCTTGTTTGTTTAAATCACAGCATAATTTATTTGTTTAAATACCTCGTTCACCTACGTCATTTGCTGTTCATAGTTTGCGTTGTTTCCATTCTCGTACAACCATAATTCCCTCGATTTGAGAAACCCCTATCTTCGTAGTACCCATGAAATTATCATAGACTTCCCTCAGTGAATTAAACAAAATATAAATAATATTCAAGTGTATTTCGGAAACAAATTTAAACTGTCGATAGAGCGATTCACTGGAAATTTTGCAATGAAATATGCGGAATGGAGTGTACATCAATTTTTCAGAGAAATATAAATTCCATATTGTGCACATAGCGAAGAAATGTAGTTCAGCATGTTGATGCGTGAGACATTTCACAATTAACAGTTTCCATGACAGTGAATACGCCTATGATGAAATCATGTCTAGAAGTGTAAAACCAAATGTATACATTTTTGAAACATTTCTAAGGTTGTTATCTATTTTTGTAATTTTCGTAATTGTTCTGCATTATTATAATATATTAAATTCTAATTGATCTACTATTTGTCTTATGTTCATTTCAATGATTAATTTCGCTACTTATGTCCCAAAACTGAAAATGTAAAAGTTTTAAGTTTTTTTTATTAAGAATCATATCTCCTCTTTTGCTTTTGACTTGAATATAATAATGCCTGCATGCTTGCGTTTTATCATTCCCTACAAACTGTCACCACCGATTCCATGTACGCTTAAATGAATAGTGCCCGGCGGCCACGACGGCAACTTCATGCCCAGCAAGACATACATGTATAAGAAGTAAACATTTGTAGCAGGTTCAGTATTGATTCTATTCAGTGAGAACTTTTCTTAGGATTAGCTTAAATGTATTTCAATTTTTCTGCTTTGATTTGTTAGTTAAAATTTTTGTTTACTTCTCTTTACAAAGTGTGGTTTTGATTTAGTTTTTTTTTCTTTATGTATTTCGCAATTAATGGGGATGTGCGGAAGCGTAACATCCTTTTTACTTCCTTTTAGACTTATTTTTAATTTACGTATGTATGTATTTGTGTAAAAAGATATTTGTTGTGATTTATTTCTATTTAAGATTATTCTATTGCTATTTTTGGTGGTGGTGGTTATTTCCGGCCCTGTTGTCGTGTTTTTTGCACAATTTTAATTACCTGCCGTCCCTGTCGATTTAAACGAGTCTATATTAAATTTTAATGTAATATGTCTAAAATAATTTCAGTGCACAAAAAAAAGAAATTTTAAGAGTAGATATTCCTTCTATTAAAAAATATTTTTTTAATTAATCCCATCTAGGTGTACTTCGCGATGTAAGAAAACTGACATGGTTGAAATATTGAAAATTTTGCAAAAGTAAATGCATTGAGAAAGCTTTCAAGCAGAATATCACAAAAATTAGATCCTTTCCATTGAAAGAGTTCTGCAAAATGTTCATTTCTATTTCTAAAACAAATTTAATACGATTAAATCTATTCTATGTTTGAAATAAAAGGCATAAACACAATTATAATCTGCTATTAATGTATTCCACAGGAATTACAAATGCAAATTTAATTACCATAGAATCTACCTTCCAATAAAAACAATTATGTTTGAATAAATACATAAAAACTAACATCTAATAAACGCAAATTACACAAACGCATTCAATTAAGTAACATAAATACACACATATATTTTGCTGGAAATATGCCAACTGGCTGGGGAGACACTGTTTAAATTAAAAAAAAAAAAATAAAAATAAAGAATAAAAAGTTCAAAGTTTACAAAAAATCCCAAAAATAATTTTTTTCATTAGAAATATATATTTCCCAATGAAATAAAGATGTAGCAACAAAATAAAAATGATTGAATTTTAACAAAATAAATAGCAATTTTAAGCTTTTTCGGACGTTTCTCAAAACTCAGCTATAGTGAATAGCAGTTGTGTCTAAATAAAACAATCAATTAAAACAAATTTTAATATATTTGATAATTATTTATTAACTTTGCTATTATACAAAAATTATACAATTAATTTTAATATATAATAAAATAAAACAAGAGCTAAAATATTGGCAAATATTGAAATTCATTTCCAAAAAAAAAAAAAAAATAGAAATGCAAAGGAAAATAAACAATAAAATAAAAAGTGTAAAAAAAAAACTGAAAATAATACGATTGGAAGAAACGAGAAAAACATAAAAACACAGACGCACTAACATTTCTATTTTCATATAAAAAATCTTACAAAAGACATACAGCCAATCTACATACAGATATATACAGAAAACATTTTGGGAGAGGCGATCAAAGCGAAGAACTGGAATTGAATAACGGTGATTTATTTAGATAAACAAATGCCTGTGGTTTCTGAATGTTTAAAATAAATTTTAAATTTTACTCCCAATCGTTGTGTTTTGTGTGGCCTTACTAAGGTTGCCTTCAAGTTCCTGTTTAATTATGTTTAGATTCTGCTTCCGCTTCTAATTTTTCCTTCAAATACAGTGGTCCAAAAAAGTGAGTGTTTTCTTTTAGATTTTAGACTTTAGTGCTTAAAAATATCATTAATTGTTTCATAACCTTTTTTTTGTTTTGTGTTAAAAATGGTGTTATCTTCTCGGTTTGTTTTGTGTTTTGAGGTTTTTGTTTGTTTTGTTTTTTTTTTTAGATTACTTTTGATGCTGTTGTTGTTTTGTGATTTTTTAATTGGTGCTTACGCTCATCAAGGACCTGAGGACCTGGAGGCACGTGTTTAAAATTTCTTTATTTTAAAAGTTGTTCGAGTTGTTTTTGTTTTCTTTTTTCTTGTGTTTTTAGATATTCATTCGAATTTTGGCGTTTTATTTATTTCTGCTACGGTTTTAATTATTTTATAAATTTTTAGTTAAACTAGTTTTTAATTTGTATATAATTGTTTAAATTTTAGTTACTTAAAACTATGTTTATCATTTCAAAACGCGTTTTCCCTTCGTTTTGTTGTTTAATTAGTTTTTCTTAAGTTTGTTTTACGTTACGTTCTTTGTCTGTCTGTTTTATTTTTTGTGTTATAATTTCTATTTTTTTTTTGTTATTGTTGAAAAGTATCGGAAACATTGATCACATTGAAAATGAAAGATAAAAAATAATGAACATTACTGTATAATTATGTATACATATAGAAGATGGGAGAGAGGGAGAGAGGTGGAAGGAAGGAATAATATAAAAAATAATAACTATTAATTAATTATTTTATAAAAAGAAACTCTAAAGTACTTTAAGTTTTTTCCTTTAACTTTACTTTTAGATGTTATTTTTATGGCTGTTGTTGTTAATGTTGGAGTTGTTCTTGTTGCTGCTGTTGTTGTTGTTATAATCACCATTATTATTATTATGTATGCGATGAAATTGGGTTTACTGCTAACAGTAGAAACGTACACCATCCACTGAAAGGACTTGCTTTAATTTTCATTTACTCTGCCGATTAGGTTCCGGATACAAATGCACACCTTCAACGGTGAATATGGAGGTTTCTGGAAAAAATTAAAAGAAGAAATTAATAAAATTAAATATATATTTGAAAAAAGGTTTCACAAAAAATTATAGAGCTGTCGATATGAGACCGTTATTAATCTTAGTAAAACCTAAGCCATTTTGGGAGAAGAAGCTAGTCTTCAAATGCAGAGCAATTTAGAGAGAAACCATAGCCTCCGCTCCGAACGATCTTATGTCATTTTATCTACATGACTTTTAGAAATGCAGCGAATTGTTGCCCTTCTTAAAATATTTGATGGTAAACATTCGCAAATTATAAAGTAAATTGAAATAAATTTCCTATTTAATATTATAAATTTATTTTAACTGCAATAACTTTTGTTTATGGATTGAAGTCTGTTTATGGATTGAAATCTGTTTTCGGAGAATGCATTTGCATTCCCGATTTGCATTCGCCATCACACACTGGAATTATATCTCTTCAATACAATAGGTGTTTACATACTAAATTATTATCATTTCATTTACCACAAAAATAATAAATTTAAATTAATTTCCAATTAAAAATGTTTACTAATAAAACAAAACATGTCGCTGTTTGTTCGCATATTTAATTAAACATAAACAAATGACCAGCCTTCCACCATCTGAGGCAATTAGGAAAGTTATTTTTTTAAGTTGGTGCACATTCTCGCTATAATGGCATGGATTATTGCCAGAAACCGCCATTAATTCTACCCCAAATATGCGATAGCTTTAATATGCAATAATTTCCTGAACTTAAAACAAATCAACACCAATAAAGTGTTCGTCCCATCAGCCATCATAGTAGCCGCTGTACATCAACTAAATAAAACCACAAATCAATTAAATTGCCATGGAGTGTTTGAAGAAGACGAAACCGCAGAAATTCCAAGGGAAGATTGATACATTTCACAATCACCAAAGAGGCAAGGCAAAATATATAAAACATTGCATTCCGAATTGCATTCGTTATAAATGTCTAAAAAAAAATTATTTATTCACATGTTATCATTGCATAACATTGTGTTTAATGAAGTCCTCTAGCATTTGACGATTTCATGACTCGTGATGTAAGGCTCAATGAAATTAGCAGGCCTTAAGGGTTCCAATTTTTTTATAGGATAAGTAAAATTCGGCAAAAGTCAGTAAACTAATCCGCGAGACCACAGTTACTTTATGCTACATCTCTGTGTATTTCTTTAAAACGGAGATCTAAATTTGTCAAACAAATCAAATTTCTATACATTAAAGTAGAACAGGGTTCTGTATCCGAATTACCATTGTACAACAGATAATTTCCTTCAATTATTAATTGCTCTCGAACACAATGTTAAACTCATTGCAGCAAATTTAGATTGCAGATTGGCAGAGCAAACCAAATGTATAATGAGTTGAACGTTTACATTTGGAGTAAGTAGAAATTTCCATTTGAACAATTTTAATTGAAACTCAATTAGATGGTTGATTGTTCAAATTCCCCAGGGCGAAGAGGGCAGCAAAAAGTCAACCAACCTGTGTTAGAGGAAACCTCCCTCATTCTGTTACAACAGTAATGTTGCAATTTTAAACAATGTTGGTCGTACTTTGAAATCTGTTGAAAATGCCTTCCTCGTTTGACAGGACGTATGTCTGACGCTCCACATCTGACGTAGCTTGTTAAATTAAATTCCTGTGTTGTTCCTGGCGATTGCGTACAAATTGGGTTGAAGTAACTGATACGGTACCCCTTCTTCTAGATTGCATGTAAATATTATTCATTGTCCATTTGCCAAAGTTAATTTATGTTTCGATGTTGGCATTGAGTGACTGACCATTGCTGTTACTATTTGAGGTAAATATGTCTGTGTACCCACTCCCATTAGTTTCGATGTCAATTGGAGTCAAAATACAATAACACATTTTATGAGCCTGTGTGTGCATGACGTTTATCGAATAGCATATCAAATATTACGATATTTACGCTAGTTTGCTATTGTAATTCAATTAAAAATATTTACTCTTTCGAGATACTCTTAGTAATCCCAAAATTATGAATATGTGATTGGTTTGAATGAACCGTGATTTTAAAATCTAAAATTTGATTGAGTCTATGCCCTTGAAATATTACGACACGATGTTTAACTCGATAAATTCTAATTTAAAACAAGTGGAATTATGTGGAATTCATTTTTGAGTCTTCCTAAACATTTGTTAAATTTACAATGATATAGCGGCATAACCGAGCATTGAATGCTGGCTAGAAACAATATCATTTCCAAACATACCTACCATTATATCATAGCAACTCTACTAAGCTTAATTGAAAATTGGAGTAAGACCATGACTAACAGCAAAAAATGTATGCAATATTTTGCCAACTTTATAATGGGCGAATATCATTGGATGACATATGTGTGGCATGCAAACTAAGTACGTAAGTACCAGAACTATTTTGTGGCATGACTGACTAAGCTTTATAAGCTGCTTGCGTGTACATTATTTGTATGTGGGTAATAATATCATTACAGCATTTTATCCGAACGCAATAAGCGTGAGATATAATTCCACCGGAACATGTTGAGCAGAAAAGGACAAATTTTCAAATTAAAATATGAACTATAAACGGAAAGCTTTGTAGCAAAATTGGTGTATCAGCTCAGTCTTTGCATTGAATTATATAATGTAATGATAATAATATAAACAGACATAAACATTTAATAAAGAGTGTGTGTTGCAGTTAATGGAAGATTTTTAAATTTTGTGGTCAATTTTGTGAACCAGATCAGAATGTATGTGTGAAAGAATAAAGAGGTAAAGGTGAACATAACTGGACACATTTTTTAATTTTTAAAAAATGTTATCAAGGATACAATAGGAAAATTTAACCTAATACATGATGTTGAAGCAACAAACTTGCAATTCGATCAGCTACAACTTCAAATAGTATCGCGTATAAAATTATGAGCGATTCATTTAAATTCAATTGTAAACAAATAATCTTAAAAAAATACTAATTTCCACAAAAGTAATTAATGATGTTAATTATACATCTAGCAGGCTACTATGTTAAGGATAGGCTAATATTAAACACATGCTTTGTGTCCTAAAATTGTATGTTGAACCATTTTCCGAATTGACAGAGGAAGCCTCTTATACTAAAACACGCACAACTTACGAATTTTATTGTCGCATGGGCGTTTTTAACAATTAAATGACTCATGTTTAAAAGTTTTTTCTTCACATCTCCATGCAAAGAGTAAAAAACGACAAAAGCTTTAATTAAAACAATTGTTGTCACTCTTTCGCATGAAATTTACATAAACTTTCTTCCAAAACACGAGAGATTTGCGACGAATTGCCAACAACAAAAGTTTTCCTAGTAAACATTCTATTTATAATATTGCTTGAATTTTAATTTGAACAAATGCTTTCCAACATCTTCGCTATAAAGAACAAACTCAGCATTAAGACTGGCTGCCTGTCAGTTGGACTGTTGCGTTAACAAAAACAATAGAACATCTTTTAAACAAATTCTGAACTTTTTCAACCGTTCACCATTGAATGGAGTGTATATTAGGTTCATCATTGTTCACAAAAGACAATGTGCGGAAAGTATAGAAGAGCAACACAAAAATACTCATTCAATCTGATTTCTTTTGTTGTTTTCTGTTCCGAGACAAGCTTAATAATCTGCATCATTATAAGATGTGTTTTGCCGTTGTTTAGGTGGCTTAACAGACTGTTTGCCATAAGTCTTAGCAACGAGTTATATTCAAAAGTATTAACTATGTTGGAGCCGTAGCGAGTCTGTGTGACTTTTTCCGCCTAAACAAACCTTCTTCAAAGTAAAATTTTTGATTTTTAATCCATTAAAATAAGATTATTTTTCGATTTAAAGTATGTAAGACGATTCAGCATGAACAGTTGCAGCGCGATATATTACTGTAGAAATTTTAAAAAAACCCCGGTTACAAAGGTTCTCCATATAACGTGTTATTCCGATGGTTTCAATAGCATATATATCTAAATAGGGCCCTTGACACTAACATTGAATAGAGAAGTGACTTTGACAATCTCGGGCTACTTGGCAAACAGATTTCGTGTACCGTCAAATTACACATTTCCAATATTATTTTGGTCTCTGTTGCTGCATAAATGGATACTAAAATCAAACAATTAATTTCTCACTTACCATCTGGCAATTCATATAGTTTTTTTGGTAATTGCGCAAAATATGGATGATGTAACGCCTCCTCGGCACCTATCCTCTCGTCCGGATTCAATTGGAGGAAAGCATTCGCTATCGCTTCACCTTCCACGATATCGTATAGTCTAGGAAAATTGTGACCTAATTTGCGAGGACGATAAAAACCTAGAAGACAAAGAAAAGTAATGAGATAATGTTTACATTAGCCAATTCGAACTTTGGGACAGAGTCGGGAGTATACCTAATTTATGCGGTTTATAGCATGGGAAATGTGTACAGCCCGGCCATGTCTCCTCCGTTGGTGTGCCCAGAAGTTTGAAAATTTTATCCAATTGATCGTATGTATCACGTATACCGGGGAATGTTGGCATACCAGTTACCATCTCGACAAATATACATCCGACACCCCACATATCCAGTGACGTCGAATACTCCGTACTACCGAGTAGAACATCTGAAAATGAAATAATAAAATGTATATCAATAATTTTACCCATCTATTTTACTGTGAATCATGAATGCATTAATTTCCTCATATTTTAATTCAAAATGTGATTACCACGTCACATGGTTTATAAATCATTTGTTTATTTCTAATGCAATAAATCGTTTTAAAGCCATTCTACGAAATAAAATGCTAATGAAAGAGGGAAACTTCCATTAATTCAATTAGATTTGTTCCTTTCTTCGTTGCCTTTCATTTTACGCGCATCCTTGCCAAGTTTGTTTGACGAATGAAATACAAATTTCGCGTCAAAAAAGAGATTAAAATAAAACAAAAAGTTTTTTTTTTTGCGGAGAAGGGGGTTTCCTCTCAACGAGGAACAACGAGGATGTCTGCCGTTGATTCGCTGTTAAATGTTCGTTTTAACTCTTCTTTTTTAGTAGCTTCATTAAATTCCTGATTCATTTTCTTTCTTCTCTTCGGGCAAGCACGAAAGTTTTCTTTTCTTTTTTACATTTACACATGTTCTGACATCCCAAAACCATTTCAGAATATTTAATTCTCAACAAACAGAGAGGAGTTTTTCCGTGTTTATTTCTGGGCTAATTGAAAAAGGAACAGTGTTTAATACTTTAATTTACTTTCTTGAGTTTTTCTTGAATGCTCATCGACTTGCCGTTAACTGGCCCCTCTCTCATCGTCCCCTTGCTGAGGGTACTTTTATACTTCACACTTTGTTTGTGTTTCCAATCTTTGTGGTTGGTTTTAGACTTCCGGTAGTACAACCGGATGTCGTGTCTGACTTTTGTTGGTTGTGATGGTTGGGTTTGTTTACGTAACATTTACATAAACTCTTCCAAGACTTCTAAGTAATCTACTATCGCGATTTTATTCAAGCATGCAATTTTTAATAGAAAAAAACTGCAAATGAGCAAAAACTCAAATGTGGGAGTCGACCGACAATTCTATGAAATGCACAACTAAGAGGAACAAGGATACTTACCGGGTGGACGGTACCATAACGTTACGACTTCATGTGAATATGTATGGCTGGGCACACTCTTTGCTCGCGCCAAACCAAAATCGGCCAATTTCAATTCACCACAATCGCTAATCAACAGATTCTGAGGTTTGACATCACGGTGCAAAACACGGCGTTTATGGCAGTAGGAGAGGCCACGCAACAGCTGAAACAAAAACAATCGAACGTTGCGGTGATCCAGGCCGCCGGGATGTTTTTCCATATATTGAGATAAATCGGTATTCTGTGGTGAAATAGAAAACCAAATATTAAATGTCGAACGGACGAAAAAAAAACAAAACGATTTGAGGCCATGACTACTTACCACATATTCGAATACAAATGTTAGGGTTTCCCTCGTATGTACAATATCATGCAACGTTACGATATTTGAGTGCTTCAGTTCTTTGAGTAGGGATGCTTCGCGTATCGCTGTAAAGGGAGCTCCTTCCTCCTCCTGCAGTCTGATTTCTTTGAGAGCAACACGTTGATAAGTTAGTCTGGAAACAAATGGATGAAAATAATTAATAAATTGCAATAAATAATATTTATTTTCCATAATAAATATAAATAATATTTTGTTGTTGCAAAATGGTCAGGCTTAATCCTCTTATTGTTGTTTTTATAAAAACAACGTTTGTTTAGTAGTGGAGAACGATGGCAATGTTTACCAGGGGGTAAGGCAGGGAATACCTAGGTTTCAGAAAGAGCCACCAATCCTCATCCGTTCCCTTGTTTTTGTCTGGGATATTCTCCCCAGAAGTTTATAAAAACAACAATAAAGGGATTAAGCCTGACCATTTTGCAACAACAAAATACTATGGTATCCCGAACAAAAAAGCCAACACTGTTCTATAAATAATATTTAGGATATGTTTGTTGTTGTTTTAATTATACTAATTAAATAAAGAACACTAATTGTTAATTACCTTTATATAGGGATATCGACCGATTTTAAATATTTACAAGGCAATTTTCTATACGAATGTGGACATGTAATTAGATTATAAGGGTTCCTAATAGTTTAAAGACGTTCTCGCAAAATTGTAACCAATGCCACATTGTTTTGGCCTAACATCTAGCGTCATGTAAAAGCTAATTTTGAAACTTATTTCTATTTTGGTCCTGTGCCACAAACTTCCATCTTAAAGTACATCCTATTAAAGCAATTACGTTTTCGGGAAAATAAATTAAAGTAAAAGTAGTTAAGAAACACACTTTATTCGTTGGGGGCTTAACCTCCGTCGAATGCCGCACTTTGTTAAGACTCGCAAACTCATAAAATGGCTTAACAAATGACATTCCAACGACCATAAATGGTGACAGAAATTCCTACAATGACACTGGGACGGCACAGATGAATTCCTGATGCCTTATTCGAGAAGAGCACCGCAAACTCAATAAAATTAGGATAATAAGGACACGTCAGACGGAGAAGTTCGCCGAAGAAGTCCCCCCCAACACACACACACACATGCACACGCACACGAAAATCAACAACAAGTGCCAAATTAGGTTAAATTTTATGACACCTTAAGTTACATTCTGGCAGTGGTATGTGGCATGGATAGTTTCTGTTTGCCTTTGAATGTTAAGGACAAGTAAATAGGACCACCAAACAACTGGGAAACTCAACTATTTTCTCTTGTGAATGGAAATGTTTTCAAGATGTTTGACACACATACATATTTTACGAAACAAGCATGGCACGCATAAAAAGTTTCCTTAACATATGTGATGGCTGCAGAATTTTATTACCATTCTGACTAGCAACTACTTCGATGTGGAATAGCAGTTGTAACTAAGTCTGAGAAGTTACGGCAAGTGCTCCAGAGTTTAGTGGCACAACACGCCATCCCGAGCATAAATGGTTATTGGTGTTTGTGGGTGGCGTGCAAGGAGACCGAAGACGTTCTGGATGTAGGATCGCATCCTAAACTTGTTGAAAAATGGTAAATTAACAAAGTTTGTGACTTTCTCATCTTCGTTTCGTTGCTTCCATTTTCATCTCAATTTCTGAATTTATTGTAAATATGCAAAGAAAAAGTTTATTAAGAGTTGTAGTCAAAATATGATTTTGTTATTTCCTTTCTTTTGGTTCTGTTTCGTACATTTCGGCTGATAGAGCGTTGCGAAATATGGGAATGGTACTCAAGAATGAGAACCAAAAAAGCAGTAGTGGTATATGGGAAAAGTTTTATTAAAATAGCTTCAGTAAATAGAGTTTGTGTGTTTGTGGCAATTGGAGTTATTATAACTTACTCGCATATGTTGGAGCTTTAGATGTGATATTAATGCCAAGTTGGTTAGTTTGCAATTAATTTTTGGCCAATTTAAATGTTTGGAGTTCTTTCTGAAGCCCAGTGACCCATAAACAAATCTAATTGAGTGGATAATTAATTTGTTTTATTAAAAAAGGACATTTAAAAGGAATTCTTTGACAATTTGCAAAGCATTTGAAGCAGTGGATCGTGTTTAATTTGATTAAAAATTGAAGCTGTGTAGGAAGATATATTAGCATCTTATTGAATTTATATTGATTATTTGGAAGAGTTGCAAATTTAAGAATACTATAAAAATTGCTTAAGAGTATTTAAATTATAACACAATGGCAGTGGGACATGGTCCGGGAATGTGATTTTAAGTTATTAAGCTCTTTAAATAAACACGGATCATTGTAAATATACATCTATTTCTAGTATGCCTCCAAGTTTAAAGACTTTGGGAATTTATAGTTATTTCACGTTTTTTTGATGCAGGATATACCCTATTTTGATGTGATGCTTAGTACTCAAGACTCAAATTAACGCTAGAAGTTACTCTGCCAAATAGGGTGTAAATAGTTGTATAGATGTTTTATATGATGATATTATAGCTCCCACAAATAACTCCTATTGATTTGATGTAAATAATCCACCACCTGGGATAAATGTTGGATCATGCAATCACATTTCGACTCTGTAGCAATGATACTTGGTACGAGAGATCACAGGCAACATAGACGGCTGTCAGTTGGTGTAAATCATATACATTTCATAAAAATCTCCAATATAAATGTATTTTTGTATTGGGAAACCCAGCTAAGTACGTCTAGTGGTGTACGATGTCATATAGTTCCGTCCCGCCCGCCGTTGCCCTTTATTTACCATTTTTTCTAAACCAAAAAATAAAAGATTACATACAACCCCCCTCCTAAAATATTATTGAAATGATGGATGGGAACTGCTCGAACAAAAACCTCATCTTTTGAACAGATTGTCAAAGGATGATGATTGAAATAAATGTAATGATGTGCATCTCCAAAGAGCTCTCTAGAGATTCCTTGGCGTAATTTCGCCTACAAACCTTAAAAAAAAAAACTTAATTTCACTTTTGGGTTGAAAGGTTTTTGGTTTAATTTCTCTATGCCACATGTACAAGGCTTTCCCATTGTTTCGGTTTTTTTTCAACAGGCAATAGGATAATCAGACATCACTGACATCTACACCTCGTGCTCATTACCATTACCAGAATACATAACACATTTTGCTGTTGCCGTAATGCTCAATGTCAGTGCTCTAGTTTCACCATGCTATTCCACTGAGGCGGCTTTCCCTGCATGTGCACTGCTTCTTTATCATATTGGCCTCGGAGATGTAGTGGCTGTCACTTGATAGCAGTGACTGTAAACTGGAGCATTTTGTTTGAGATTCTTGCCATTTGCCCCTGCCAGTTGCCGTTTTGTGGTGGCATTCATGACAATACTGTCACATACTCGTATATATACATGTGTACGTGCATGTCGCACTTCTAAGCGAAAGCAGCTCATTTCACAGTTTCGTGTGTGCAGTTCTTTTTCCGTTTTATCACTGGCATTAGCTGGCATCATCATTGTTTATCTTCATCTTTTCTCTAAATGTTATCAATGATGGTCTTGAGCTGTTCTCTCAACGCTAATGTTTCGTCACGACTGTGTCATGTCATGTGTATGTGCGTGTGTGTGTGCATGCATACATATGTATGTGTGCGTGTATTCAATCCTTGAAACAACAAAACAATATGTACAGGAAAGTAAGTGTAATTTTACTTTCCCTAACTCTTATGTAATTTAGCTCTTGTGAGAGTAATTACGTGATCCTTTCACGTCATATCATATATCTTATTGCAATTATGCTTTCACTTTTTGTTTGTTTGGATTTTACTGTTAATCCTTGGAACTGGAGCGTGATATCCCTTGCATGGAATAGGATTTAAAGGAGTATAAATAGACAACATTGTATGACAGGAATCAGTCATTCGAAACTACAACAATCAACTTTCAAAACTCATTGTATCGAAAGAACTGCAAAACATACATTTCAATCGTCACATAAGTATCTTTAAAAATCAAAGCTATTTGAATAATTTCAGAATATGATAATTAAAGCGAAGAGCGCTATAGCAATTAAATTAATTAAATACAAGGACAACTTGAGTGTAATGAATAATTCATTAAAATTCATTTTAATTTTGCTAAATACTTAAAATGTCTCAGAGTGTCGAAGAGCATTTTAAAGCCAGCTCATTGGGCAGCATGTAAAATTTACGAAACCCGGGAAAATCTCGAAAAACAAATGCAAACTGTGTTTTGTAATTAAATTGGTGGAAAACTCGCATAAAAGCCAAAACAAAAGCGAGGGAAAGTGAATTCTACGAAGAAAATAAATCCCGCAAATGAGACATTTTTTTTATTAAAGCCCATGGGCGCACGTATCTTTTCTGTGCTAGTGTGACATGTCAGTCGCAGTGACATGTTATGCCTGGAAACCATCAATCACCAGACAAACACAGCGGAGGAACATCAATGACATGGCACCATCGAAACATCGCTCGCACTCTCCCGCCAAGCATGGTGTGGGCCGGCAATGTGACTGCAACTGCCTAAAACGAGGAGGAAGGACCAGCCGCCAGCCAACCCATTTGTGTTGTTAAACAATGTTAAAAAATTAATCTTTTCTTTCCCACTGACACACTAGCACAGCGACGTCGTCAACTCACACTCTGCCGGGCTGGTTTGGTGACAAAGTGGACCGGCGCCAGAGTGAGTGAGCAAAGTGAAATATAATCATTATGAAGAGTCACTTCAGTGCTCTGACATTGACATAGCACACGTTATGTTTCAACACCCACAACAAGCTAGAACAGTGGGAGATTAAAAAGAAGCAACGCAAAGAAATAAGCGACATAAAGTTTAGACAAGCAGTTAAATTTGTTGAGATTTAAAAAGGGGGACGACAATAATATTGAATTTTCGGTTATTTTCCGAACATAACTGGCAATAATTTGATATTATAAATTCTCAATGCAAATATGCCTCCTAGGAAAGATGTGTAAGGTAGATATTTCGAGTCAGTAATCAGTATAAGAGGATCTCTAAGCGACGGCATTTATAAGCAGATCCTTGCTAATAATGGAGGGCATGCACGGTTTACGGTTCTGTTCATAAGGTTCAGAAAATTCACTCACTTTTAAATATCTTATGCACTAATATTAGACAAGTCTTCTAGAGCTTCTATTGTTTTAATGAAAATAAGAATGTCTTATGTATTCGAATTGCTTAAAAAAAAAAAACAATTCAGATGTTTATATTGTTCTTTGAAATGACATTTGTTTGAGTTTTTTTTTTTTTTTTGAACTTTTACACCACCTCTCGTCATTCAAGCTGTAACAATGTCGAGTTTCTTTTTAACAAGACATTTTGTGAGAAATATTCCGCAAGTTTCTTTTCGCAGCAGTTTCTTATAAATCACTGAAAATGCGGTCATTAATGTCGGCATCAGAATTTATGACGCTCGAAATGGGGGAGGTGGTGTCCTTGTTGTGTGTATCGGGAAAAAAAGGACAATGTGTTCGTTGAAGTGAGTCGGGGTGTGTTAAAGGATGTGGATGGAGTAGAATGTGTGCGTAGAAAAAATGAGTTATCTAAAAGCACATAGAAATAGACGACAGATAATAACTTATCATCTCCTTTGACAATATTTCTTTCTTCATCTTCTTCGGTTTTTGGTTCATGCCAATTTATTATTTTTAAACCAAACAAATGTGCTTTTGTTTGTATTTGTATACATTTGGCATAAGTTGAACCCTTTTACAACTGTTTGCCAGTCGCCGCTATGCATCGGAAAATTGGTTTTTAGTAGATGATCGATTATTGCCATTAAGAGGGCTAATAATTTAATAGCTGACTTAGAGACATTTAATAGCTGATATTTCAAATAAATGCATCCACTTACTTGCTAAATCCCCTGTATACTGTGGCATAAGATCCTTCTCCCAAAGGTTCCAATTTTACGTAGGCATCTTGTTTTCCGAACGGCGAATCACCCTGAAAATAATGAAGGTTAAGGATTATAAACATATACTTAGAAATTCGAATCGAAAGAGACTATGTAACAAAGTTATATATATTTTAAGATGTGTGAATAGCGCAGATACGACTTGGCATATCTAAATCAAAAATATTTCTAATAATAACAAGTAAAACAGCAGCTAAGTTCGGCCGGGCCGAACCTTTAATACCCTAAACCATTTGGAAGGAACTTGAACATTAAAAAAAAAATAGAAAACTACCACTTATATAGAAACCGTTAAATGGGGACTATACGAAGACGTGAACCTGCTTACGAATTATTTTTCATAGGCCGTGGTACCCATTAAGAACTTCAAATACGAAATTTGAAACAGTTCCAGTGAAAATGTTGCTGAAATCATCAAAATACCGAGTATCGGAAGGTACCGTCATATGGAGGCTATACGAAGACGTGGGCCTGCATACGAAATGTTTTGCCATAGGTTGTAGTACCCATTAAGATCTTCCAATACGAAATTTGAAAAGATTCCGCTGATTAATGTTGCTGGAATCAAAAAAAAAAAAAAAAAAACGAATAAAAAAATCGTTATATGGGCTATACGAAGACGTGGACTTGCACACAAAAAATGTTGTCATAGGCTGTAGTACGAACATTAAAAATGCAATTTGAAATAATTGCTGTACATAATGTCGCTAAAATCATGGAAATATCGATTATCGGGAGGTATCGTTATATGGGGGCTATACGAAAACGTGGACCGACATGGCCCATTTACGAACTTGTTTACCAATAAACAATGCATGCATGCAAAATTTTAGCATCCTATCTCAACAACAGCTAGACAGATGGACATCGCTAGATCGTCTTAGAATTTTACGTTGATCCAGAATATATATACTTTGTAGTGTCTATTATGAATATTTCGAGTAATTACAAACGGAATGACGAAGCCTCCTATAGAATGGTGGAGGGCACAAAAACTAATTAATCCCAATCAATATACTTTTTTTATCAAACGTTTTAAAATACAATTTCTTTAAATATCCAGGCTAAAACATGATTAATTTTTCGGACAATTTGAGACAGCTGAGGTGATTTAAGCTCAACTCAAGTTCCTGGATTGTCAATTCCAACACACTTAATGTCAAGAAGCATTTACTGTCTGAAACAGTGAAATGTATTATTTGCTCGGGACACTCTTTTGCCTTTAACAGACAAAGGGTCCCATCAAGAGAAAATAAAAAGAGATAAAATTTTGTTTCAAACTTAATCGACAGTGCCCAACCGGTAACTACTTGTGTGTCTTGCGATTTCAACTCAATGAGAATTATCTGCGAAGAAACAGTGACTCCAACAGAATACAAAACATTCAAAACATTGATTCAGTACAAAACAATGTTTTTGTTGCGCACATTTCTGCAGTCCATTTCGTTGTATTAATGCCTCGCAGTCATTGTGTGTAGCAACAACAACAACAATCTCGATTTCTTCTTTGCACAAAAAAGTGGTGACTATCTGCATGTTACTTGTTGGTTTACTAAACGATTTGATAAGAGTTCATAAAGTCGATACTAGTGGTATGTTAGGTATGGAATACGAAATGATTAAAGTTGCAAATATTGGGTTCTAAATGGAATTAACCAATTATTGAAAATTTGTACAAAAAATAATACTTCTTTAATAGTGTTACTGATCACTATTGAATAAAAACGTCGTTACGATTCATTCACAATTAAACTTTTTATCCGTATTAAATTCAGTATCAAGGCCTGTTGTATCCAAATGTTGTTTATTCAAATATTAGTTTTCCTGCAATAAATTATTTTCTAATTCTGTTATTTCAGTTAGTATCAAAATCGAATTCATTTGCCTGTTGTTAAAATTTAAAACTAAATAAAAAGCCTCAAATTTAATTTATTTATGTCAAAGTATTTAAAAATGGAATGCCTGCACAAAGCGATTTAATACTTGTTGCCCAATATCAATTGTCTCCATATTAATTTTTTAAATATTTTTCTTTTCATTTTTGGTTTCAAGCTTAAACAAGCATCGCTATATTTAATAACTTTAAATAATGAAAACGATTTCTCAAATTCGAAACTGATGTTTAAGTTTGCCAAATCCATGAGGAGGAAATAACTTGTACCAAACCCAACTTTTACCATTATTTAAATTAGAATACTTAATGATATTACCAATTTAAAAAATAATTTCGAACAGTTCATGCAATTATGAACGCGTCCTTATATCATGTATGACATGTTTATTTAAGATACTCGATTCGATTCTAAAAGAGGTCTCATTTGGTATGACTCGATTCATAATTCGAACGATTATGTAGTCATTTAAAAAAAGGTTTCCTTGCAATGACTTGTTTTGAAATTGTGTTGTGGCATAAAAAGCTCGCAATTATGACAAAAGTATGCAAAAGCTCAAACAAAAAAGTTAAAAAATGCTGGTTATGGAATAACTATCTCTGAAAAGATAAAAATGAAAAATAAAAAAAAATCTTTTTTTTAAATTATTGTTATCTGGGATGCAAGTATTAAGAAGATTTAGGTTCACATTAGTTCCATGTCCAAGAAGGAATAATGCAACCACCATTCTTAACTCATACATACACATACATGTGTTGAAAATCTTAAAATGCGAATTCCAATTGTTTGAGGACATTAAAAATTTATAGTAGATGGGTCAATACCTATTACGAAAGGAGAAGTCATAGCGTTTACTTACCCCAAATGCACTGAAACGTTTGCGACGCGGATGTTGCTCTTGCTTGTTGAGGAATACTTCGGATTTGGGTCTGGGTGGTTTCTTGGGACGCATTATTACCCGTGTTTCTTCCCTAATGTCATCGTCTAACAGCTTGCTATCGGATGAGACGGACAATTGTCTCTGGACACGATCGTGGTGGTCAGTGCCATCTGTACTACGCCAGTCTGCAAAGAAAGGTAAAATAGTAGAAATATTACATAAAAATCCTGTTAAGAAGCGTTGCCTTTATGGGCGGTCCTAATACATCAATAAAAACATAAAAACACATACCGTACGACGATGTCTTAACAACTAAAATATATATGTAAGAGGGTGGCTGTTTCTTTAAGTTTGTGTCTAATCAAGTTTGAATAGATTTACAAAGTTTTCCGAAACGCGACTTGCAATGAGTGCAGTTTTTTTAAATACTTTCCACGTTTTCTTTTGGAAATCTTAAATGTGAAGCCAAAACTATACATATGTGCCTCATAACGTTTGTAAATATTTAATACACATTTTGGAATTTAAGTAGCTTTTAATATAAGTATGTACATGCAACAACATGCATACATAGTTTTCCTACCATTCCTTTTTGGCAAACTGAAAATTAAAGGATTTTACGTTTTTGACCAAATTTTCTTAAACAGGCTAAGACATAGTTTAACCTAATATTACGTATATTTTTTTATTTTTTTCAGAACCTGAACAGATCCTGAAAATATATCTTATATTTTATTTTGTATTTGATGAGTCTTCGTCCCGATCCTCCATAAAGCAGAACCTAGTGGACAATGTACGAGGTTTTGTACATACTTTACTTGTTAGGATGGGAAACATTTTTGCCAACATAAAAATAATAGAACGGCACAAGTAAAGCTTTTAATCCTTCTTTAATCTGCTTTAGGGTTGATTCAGATAAAATCCGTAAAAAACAAACGCCATTTAAGAATACACACATACGTTTAACCACACAAATACCAAATAGAACATTACTACCTCACTCTCCCACAGTTTGCAGGACTCGCATTTGGAAACTTAAACAGAAATTTAATTTATTTTCCATTTACAGCCGAAAACAAAAATGCTCGCTGCTGACACAACATCACCTGGCCTAACAGTTCTAGTGCATTTTCTTGTTTTACGACCTTGTTCTTATCCGTTGTCCCTTTGGGGTTTGAAAAATATTAAATTTTCTAAAAGTAAAAACTTGTTTTTTGTTTGCCCATAGAAAACAACACAAACCTGGAAAGGGGCGAAGGCTGGCAAAGTTAGGCGCAAGACCAACATAAACACCACCATGGATATATGATATTTTAATGGGATGAGTTTTTGTTTTGAACATTTTAATTAAATTTTCAATTGGGACTGGCGACTAATCATGGTCTCGTCTCCAATATCGATTGGAAGTGACCAAAACAAACACGAAAAGGGGATACTGCAACTATAGTTGCCAGGCCCGAACGGCGAACCCAATGTCTATGACAAATTTAACACAAAGTTTTGGGACATTAAATGTAGGGCTTATTCAGCAAATTATTGAGGTTGGGTATGTGGAAAAGAAATTTAAAGTTCGGTCAGGCAAAGAGGTAATGAAATCCTTTAAAAACAAAAAAAAAAAAAAAAACGGGAGCCAACGTTATATGGGGACTCTAATAAACGTGAATTTATATGGACAATATTCTGTCTGGATAAATAAGCCACTACGAGCTCTAAATACGAAATTGTAACCAATTCTGGTAGAAAATGTGGTCTAAGTCGTCAAAATACCGAATCATATTTGGAAGTACCGTTTATGAAGATATAGTAAAATATGGAAGAATTTTAACTTTTTTTAGAGGAAGAAGTGTTCATTATGATCTCCAAATATCAAATTATAAACAATTTTTTTTAGTTCGTAAAAATACCGAATATCGGGAAGTATCGTTATATGGACATCTCTGTGCAAAATCTTCCTTTCGAAAATCGTGTGAAAGTATTTATGAAAATATAAAAAAATAGCAAACGTGGACTCTAGACTGAATACAACAGGTTGGGCTGGGCTGGTTGGAATAAAACACGTGTAGGTTCTTGAACAGAGTAAGCTTTGTAGGATAGAAATAGGAAAGCAAATGGCTACAAATTTGCAATATTCTTCAGAGAGAGGATAGACCTACACGTCTAAATCAAATAGTAAAGTTGTATGCATAGTCAAATGTAAAATTTTTAAATAGACGAATTAAAAGATTTTACATAAATTAATTATGTGAAAATATAAAAATTAGCAAACGATTCTCAAGGAGTCTTCGATAATATAATCATAGAACTTGTTAAACTAACTCGACCCCAACCCCCGGTTTGACTGTTTGCTTTGCACCATAAAAGCGTATCATATGGATGCACAAGTGCACGACTGTTTGCTCAGTGGAGGTGAAATGTCTGCAGGTTACTAGGTGACCCAATACCCATTCTCGGCACACATAGTCAATGTTGCTGCCACACAAAAGGACACCGAGCATCATGAGTACCTCTTATGTCTATGTGGTACATATATCTACGGCGAAAAAGGCTGCTGAGCAGGGCAAGACGACGTCGACGTTCAGAAAAACGATATGGCATCGTCGTAATGATATGAATAACCAAACGACCGAATAGTAGTTTCAAATGTGTATTCAGTTGCTAGTGAAAAAGAAAAAAAAAACGTTGAAGAATAAACTAGGTTACACGCTACTTCCCTACTGCCACACATTGTCTGTCCGTCGGATCGCAACAAGCTATGGTTCGGGTTCAACGAATTATCTTTCTGTTTCAGTTATTTATTTATTTTCGAGTGGAACATCAAATTGCGGTGAAACAATTTGTATTCACTGCAAATTGTCGTCATTTCTACTTCTTCTATCTTTTCCCACCGCTGCCGTTACTCACTTGTGTTCTCTCCCATTCAATACTCTTGAGATACATTCGTCCTCGACCAACATTCATCCTCCGTTAGTTCAAAGCAAGTCAAATTCTCGCTGGCCAGCAGCAAATGCCGGATGTTGCCCAACTGCTGGTGTTTCATAGAACTAAATGTGAGAGCATAAAATCTGGCAATTCGTTTGTGCTATCACCCAGTGTCTATGGATTTGAGTCTTTATTTGCGTTTTACATTCATTTTTGATGCTGCTGAGCGTTTTTTGTTGTTTCTTTTTAGTAAGGCTGGATGTTAATGTTGGCTTAGTGCGTTTGAAAATTGGAACGATAGTAGGCACCGCTGTTTTATTTGTGAACTAGTTTTTTTTAATACTTAAATTACTTTTTGCGATTCTCTCAAGGTTGCTAAGGATATTCCCTCATAATTTATTTAGTTTATTTTCACACATTTCTACGTCAAAATAATATAAATATATATAGGGGAGTGTTGTACATTTTTAATGAAGTGCAGGTGTATAATTATCTTGCTAGAACATATTATTAAACCTCAAAACGTTTTTTCAAACGACAAAATTAAAAGACATTAAGAATTCTCTATTGTGCGTCAAAAGATTTTTTTCTATTATATGACATTGGTTTTCGTAAGACCACTTTCGAGAGATGAACAAATATATTTTGGGAAATATAATATTGCATGGCCCCATTGATAACTGTCTATGAAATAACAGGTTTTACAATTTAAGCCTTTATGAGATTTTATGAAAGGAGAAAGTTAACGTAAAAGATATTAACGCCTAAAAATTAGTTCTAATTCCCAAAATCTTCTCTATCCCTATTTTATAAAGGTGTCTTGTAACATGGAATATTGGGCAATATGAAGTCACGATGGTTAAGGATCAAAGGAGAATTTAATTTTTATTTTTTTTTCACATATCTTGAAAATGTGGCATGAACTGGTCTAAAATACTCTCAGCGTAATGAAAGAGTGTCATGCGTTTCATACCATAATACATTTCTTCATTTACTAAAATAATTGAACCTAAAAAAATACTTATCAATCAGGGAGGAAGCGATTGGTCCACTACTTAGTATAAGTCCGTAGTATAACGATACCTTCCGGTTCCAACTCAGTATTTATTATATTTCAAGATCTCAGTAAAAATTGTACCTCCTCGTAAAAAAACTTTGTCAAGTTGATTTGGCACAAAACCCATTGTCAGACCTATACAAACACTATTTGGATGAGCCCTTTATAAATGCTACCTTTGGATGCTAATGGTGTCCAACTCTCCTGAGAATAAAAAGTTAACAGGTAGAACTCAAATTAAGTTCCATTTTCAATAATTTATTTTATTTTCATTAGATCCATTTACTTGAATGAATTTTATTTTCTGCCAAAAAATTTTGGTAATAAATCAAACAAGTGATAAAGTTCACCGTGTCACCATTGTCATTTTTTCAACTTTTTTTCGACTACATTGGATGTTAACTCTTTTTGTTGGCACCAAGACATCACAGACGACATATCCAAATTGATTAATTTTCGGACAACACAGAAACACCTTTGATGTCAAAGACAGGAGCAGCAGAAACAAATTCATGTTCGCCAGAAGTTATCACCGGTTTCCCCGTTGGAGTTAGAGAGAACCAACCCGTTGCCTTTCAAGTTGTTGTCCTTTAAAATCTTTCCTAACCTTCTTTGAGCAAAATGCCAATTTTCCATTCTAATAAATAAATGATAAAATATGAAGGGTAGATATCTGAGTGAACGAATGAATGAATGTTGGAATGAAGTGCAGTTTGTTGTGATTTATTATTCCAATGAAGAAATTAAATTAATTTTTCTTTTCCTCCGTCGTCACAATTCTTGGTATGGCTCGTTTATCTTTCTTCTATCGACTCTGGCATCGTGTTGGGGTGGTTTGTTCCCTTCTCATGTTCTACTGGAAAACAGGAACATTTATAATTTTCACCTCGCTCGCATTCGATTGTGTACATTCAAGGTGTGCAGCAACGTCGCGCTCATGCCGGTGCGCTCGAACCACTGCGAGATGGAAATGTTTGATATGGCGATGAAGGAAATAAATGTTATTGCAGAACAAAATGGCAATTTAACTTGTTTGCTCAAATTAGCAGTTGGACCATTTCACTTCGTATCGCATCGCATTTCATATCTGACATTACGGAAGAACGACAAACATAAAAATATTTACAGTGTCAAGAAGTTTATGGCGGAATGTTTATTTTTATTATTAACGAGGATTCTGTTTCTGTCAAAATGTCATAGAACAATAATAAATATGCATTTGGAAAAATGTGAAAAAGGAGAATGGTGGAGGAATATGGAAGTTTATGTTTGAAAATGTACACAATAAGGTGGATCTGGCGTTAAAACACTAAACGGTTGTATGTGTAGGGGTCTTATGTTCCTTTACAAAAAGTAAGTGCGATGCGCTGCACAGTAACGGCCATTTTGAATCAGAGTCCCGGACTTGAAATCTAATTTTCTTAAAATATTTGTCACTTTTTAGAATGCCGATGCTCTTATACATACGTTCTTTTTCCCATGTAAAATATCGAAGGTAGTGAGTAGTGCAGACAATACGTCGGAAATCGAAAGGAAATATATAACAAACAATTAAAAAAGCCGATAAGGGTCGAACTTTTAATATCTATCCATCATTTGGAAGGAACTTGAAAATTTTCAAATAAATTTCGTTGAAAAATTCCGCTTAAATGAAAACCGTTATATGGGAGCTATACGAAGACGTGCCTCAACAGAGGTAATTATCTGTCATATGCAGTAGTACCGATTTTGAAACTATTCCGGTGAATAATGTCGCTAAAATCACCAAAATACTAAATAGGGAAGTATCGGTAAATGGTTTCCGAAAATCCAACGGAGTCCAATGGATTTGCATAAGTAATGTTTTGTCATAGGTTGCAGTATCCATTTAGATCTTCCAGTACGAAATTTAACACAATTGCGTTGAATATCATCAAAATACCGAATTATCGGCGGGTACCCATTATATAGGCGCTATACGAAAACTGGCAAAATACGCATGTGTGTAAAATATTAGCCTTATCACTCAATCCGTTCGAAAGATAGCGTGATTACAACAGACAGACAGATGGACATCGCTAAATCGACTTGGAATTTTACGCTGATCAAGAATATATATTGCTTGTTGGGTCTGACATGAGTATTTCGAGGAGTTACAAACGAAAACCATAGTATGGTGGAGGGTTAACCTTCTTTAAGATTTACTTAAAGTATAAGTAATAGATATGACAATTTTAATCCAAACCCATTTATATTTAAACGTACCTTAAAAAGGATTAGTTCTTATTGTAGGTGTAAATCGTTAAACAAACGCTTATGTTCGCAACAGTGCCACTTTTACTCCTTTCGTGTGGCATGCGCTTATGAAATAGTGGGTTAGTAAAGGGTGTTTTTTTAAGCTACATAGAACTTTAAATTGTAAAAAAGTAACACAAACAATTAAATTTTGATGAAACCCTTTTATATTTGTTTCAGTATACTCTGACAAATCATAATGAATAGACTCACGCTTGAACAAAGCTATGAAATTATCCAAATTTACTTTGAAAATCAGACCCGTTATTTTATCGCAAAATTGTGTTTAGCGACGAGGCGCATTTTTGGCTTAACGGGTTTGTTAATAAGCAAAATTACCGCATATGGAGTGAGACCAATCCACAAGAGACCCAACAGACTCTATTACATCCAGAAAAATGGACCGTATGATGCGGTTTTCACACTGGTGGCATCATCGGACCTTATTTCTTCAAAAATGAGGCCGGAGCTCGCGTTACGGTCAATGGAGATCATTGCCGCACCATGATCAATGATTTTTTGTTTAAAAATATGGATGACATTGATCCGGAGGAGATGTGGTTTCAACAGGATGGCGCTACGTACCATACGGCGAACGCAACCATCGACTTATTGAAATCAAAATTTGGCAATAAGTTGATTTCGAGAAGTGGACCTGTCTATTAGTCCACGATTTGACACCTCTCGATTATTTCCTGTGGGGCTACGTAAAGTCACTGGTTTATGCTGATAATCCAGCAACAATTGGAGGCCAGCATTGTTCGTGTTATTCGTGACATACAAGAGCAGTGCTCGAAAAAGTTGACGTCCAGAATGCACTTCGTCAAGAACAGCCGCGGAGCCCATATGGCCGAAATCATTTTCAAATGTTAATGTCACGAATTAATATTTCGAATAAAAAAAATTTGAAGTTCTATCAGGCTTTAAAAAACACCCACTACGTTGATTTGTAAGTATTTACGACTGCCACAAAATTGTCAATATTTGACAATATTTTTTTTACTGGAGAGATATAAACTCAGCCGTTTTTGACAAAAGCCTTTGCCTAACAGTTACTTTTTTTTAAATTGATCTTCTTTTTTTTGAAAAGTGAATGAAATGTTAAAGAAATTTTCTGTTTCAGTATTGAATTTTCCTTTCTGGACATCGGCTTCCGTCATCAGGTCCGACTGATTGCATTTATTATAATCGGTAAATGTGCATGTGTATAGTTGGACACTTCAAAGCTGGATTGTAGCTTTTCCCGCAATAAAAGGACGATTTTGGGTATTTGTTTTGCATATGTCCGAGTAAATGTATTGGAATATTTACAGATATCCTGACTGGATTGTAAATAACAAATATGCAGCAGTTTGGGTCTTTTTTCGCATAAGTTGAATTAATCTATGCGAATGGGGCAATGTGAGTAATATGCATTCAATATTCCGATTCGAAATGGATCAATATGGAAATTCATAAACAAACTTTTGTAACGAAGTGGTTGGTGGCTATGAGAAACGTGGCAGAATATACACTTTATGGTGTTCTTACGAAAATAATGGGTATTTGTTGAAATCCCAAATTCGGGAAAAAATTTCAGTAAAGGATAACTCTTAATTCATTTTGATGAAAAATATTAATTTAAGTTGATCTCAACATTGCAAGCAATTTCTCTGATTAAGATTGCATCATAAAACGAAATCTGCACGATATTATTCTAATGGATAAACCAGCATCGTTTTTTTTTTGTTCATTATTATTGTGTACATCTCTCTAGCCATCTAAATGCAACACATTCAACTAACATTCGTAAATACTTACTTCATTTGAATCATTTATTATGGCATTCTATAATTTACGTCTAGTCTACACAACCAGTCAGGGAAGTTGTCTATCTACCAAATCATGCAAATTTACTATTCATTCCACATCGCTTCCCCTGTAAGGATGATGTTATTACTTTGCGTTTCGGTCTTCTTTTTTCGTCGTTCGACTACAACTAATTTTACATTCTAGGCAACTATGGAACTAAACGAACACAACTTGTCTACAAGATTATGGGCAAAAGAAATACCTTTTGGTTTTTCATTTTTTGCAGGTTCAGGAGCTAAAAAGAAAAAAAAAAAGAAACAAGAAGAAAAGGAAACAAAATAATATATGAGCATGTGAGTGTGTGTGTGTGTTTAAGTAAATCAAAAAGCAAATTAAAAAAGTGAAGGCAAATTTATGAATTGAGCTCTCAGAAGGAAATGCGAACTATTCAATGGAAATCACTCCAATAATAACAACAATAATGATTGCTAATGGCGATATTGGTTATTAATTATGGGTTAATTAAGGAGTCGATCGATGGTATGGGCAACAAAAATGAAAAGAATAAATAAAGAACTTCAGTCATACGAGTAAAAGGAAAACAACGAATAAGGGCAATAATAATTTCCGTACAATTATTGAGAGAAATCAGTAAATTACGAGCAAAGGATGAAGAAGGAGAGGAAATCGTAATGTGGGTTAAATGAATGGAAATGGATTACGAAAGTTAATGGCAAATGTATGGGCATGAGAATAATATTTCGGAATTAATTGTGGGAAAATATATATATTTCTCATATCAATCAAGTTGGAAGAAAGTCAATAAAACGTGTTAAAAGCCAAGGGAGGAAAAGCGGGTCGAGGATGTTTTAAAAATATATCAGTAAGTCTATCTAAGTTGCAATTGAAAATATTTTCTTAAATTATTCAAATGTAATCAAAATATGTTTGGAACTTCAGCGAAAGAACTCACAAGTCCGTTTTAAATTATATGCATGATATCCTTAAGAGCTTTAGTTCGTAGAGAAATTTAGTTGTTAAATAAATTCTTTTACTAAATCCCTGATTACATAATCGCCACATTATCGATATCATCTTTTGTATTAAATTATGAACTACAAGAATTAATTTTTTTAAAAACAAAGTTCGAAAATTTCCTGGATATTTAAGCAACTTTGATGGGGAATAAACATTGTTGAGAACGAGGATAAGACAAATGAAGAGATTATGTGCAATTAATGAGGACAATAATGCCCAAAGCAGAGAATTATCAATTTCGTAGGACATGACGGACAGTTGTATCCCCCACCGCCCTCTCAATACAAATGTATTTCCGTTCCCATACCAATTGAAGAACGACAAAAAAATAGAAACAACCCTGTGAGATAAATCAAAGATAACATATAAATAGTTGCAAGAATTTATTTATAACTTTGTTTTGTCCCGAACGAAGGGTCTAACAAACACTTGGGCCCGAACTAAGCAGCCAAATTATGTTGTTGCTTTTAACCATGTCATGTTGTATTTTAGCCACGTAGGTATGCCAAAGGAACTTCACATCAAACCCCCATATTTGTTTTCTGTGATAAACTTCTTTATTTGAGGTAATCTCTTAGGCAATTTCCCACTGCCAAGGTATACCCCTTCTTCTTTGATTATATCCCTCTGTAGCCTACAACGAGACAAGTGAAGAGAAAATGCAAACGTATATCTATGTAAATACACTCCGACAACTCACACAAATAAACAAAACAACTGGCATATAAATCGCATAAATGTTTAATTTATTACCACAGACACACAAGGAATACAACTGGAGATGCTCTGTACAACTTCACACATGTTGTATGCTTGTCCTGGCATTGGGGGAAGACTGAATTCGTTAATATTTAAGCACCGCAATGCCATGTTTGTAGGCAGAAATTTTATGTTTTGTCTTCCACCTCTTCAGTCTAATGTTCATTGGAATGTCAAGATAAGGCAAACATAACCTCCTACTGGACTATCCTTTTTCCTGCATCAAGGTGTTTGTTTGCTTAATATTAAAGAGCGAAGCCAAGAAACGGAAGAAGTAGTCCCTCCTGATGTTGAACTCATAAAAGCATTTTATGTCTCCCATTTGTGTGAATTTCATTTCATTATTCGCTATTTTGTCGGTAAAGTAGGTTGATTTGTAGTTGCTTGGGATTGGGGAAAATTACTCGAACCGTAGATATGAAAGGAATTCAAGAAAAGAAGATAGAATTTACTTAGAAACTTCGAAGGGCAAAAACAATCATATTTTTTTAAATTAAAATTGTTTGCCAAAACAAAAATATCAATTGCCAATGGAATTGGCAATCATTTGATATTTGGGGTTCTCACTGATTAAGTCAACTATGAAAAAAGAGGTTCATGTTAATTAACGATATCGCCCTATTTAAGTTACTTTCAATGGTTCTCCAGAATTGGTTATATCACATTTCTTTACAATTGGCTATTACAACCTCTAATTACGACACTATTCGAAATTCGGATATAGAATTGTCACCAATTATAACATGTTCATAGGAAGATATCTGCTAAATGCCAATACAAATTGCAATGGAAAAAAACAAATCTTCGGGTATTTCGTATTTAAGGCTTTGTTATCGAATACATAAAAAAATCAACATAAACAACTGTCTGTTGTTCATGAAAATCATTCACAACTCATGATCGCTTAAAGCTTCTGAATTCATTTTAAGCCTTTTATTGGAGCACACAATTCTCTGCTGTTTTTCCTCTTAACATTTAAATTCTTTCTAAATATTTATTTCGCAATTTCCTTATAGTTTATTACTTTATATTACTATTGAAGTATACAAAAGTGGTATTAGTATTAATATACTACGTAAAATTGGCGATAGCTTTGAAATATGTGTTTGTGATTGAGCGACTTAATAATTTAGTTTTTAATTTTTATCGCTCCTGTCATCCTAATTCTTATAAATTCCGAACACATAAATATCAAAGTATTAATTGCAATTAATTGCAATTCCCTTGGTAATCAAATTGGTAATCAAACTGGCGCAGAAACTTCATTGGCTTTTGAGTTGCAACAAATTCTCTCGATTTTGTATGAAATTAATTATTTTAATTATTTATTGGAGCACTGTGTGCCTGGACAAAGAGTTGCAAAACGCCAGCGTTTTGAGACTTCAGTTGATTGGGTTTTTGGCTGTTTCAAACATTCATCAGCGGAAAGCAATGAAGTGTTTGGCAAAATTAGGAACTGCAATAGAAGCAGTTGTGGCGACACTAAGTCCAAGTTGAGAATTTAAAATAACGAAAGAAGCCATAGAGAAGTTGCAGTCAAAACGACGGTCTGACGGAGGGGGGAGAGGAAATAAATGCCATTGTAAATTGGTATTAAGTGAGTGTAATTACTCATTGCTTTGTCACTCGAGAAAGCCATAGAAAGTGCAGGGATAACGGATTTATTCTCCTCCATGTTTTTCACCTCCTTTCCCTTTCTTCGCATTTTGCCATTATCCGCAGGAGTTATTTTTGGCGTTCATTGCATAGTTGCTGTAATTATTATTTTTATGCGAGCAAAATAAAGTTTAGTAGTCCTTATTTAACGCTAATGAGGTGGTGGCGAATTCCTTGTAGCTACCCCACCCCCAGGACGAAAATCTCCGCTCCTTCTTCCTGTAAGTTCTCGCCATGTTCATTTCGAGTTGAGCGAAGAGAAATTAATAAAAATAAAACCATTTTCATAGATTTTTAATTAAAAGGATCCTTGTTGCCCGAAGTGCCAGTGTGTGTGTTTGTGTGTGTGCATGTGAGCGTTTGTCTCAAGTGGGCGGCTGTCTCACTTCGCCATTCATAATTTCGAGGGAAATATTTTTAATTTAATGTTCTCTGATTTAACTGGCATAACTTGTCTGGCATTCACAACTTCCAGACAATGAACTTTCAACACTTGGCGTGACGTTGTGCGTGTTGTGGAATATCTTACTATGCCGTTTTAACGCGTTTCGGTTTCCAATTGGATTTGCCAAGATTAAATATTTGTAAAATGCTTTCGAGGTATTCGACTTCAAATGAATGGAGTTGTAGAAGAATAAACCGTTGTGTAATTTGTCAGTTACGAATTGAAGTTTGAGGGAATACGAATCAAATTATTATTAATTGGCGAATCGAAAGATGAATATATATCGCACTATTGCACTTAAAGTAATTTCTATAGAAGCTACAATTGTATGCGACGACTAAGGTCTGTTGCAATTATTTATTCTTTGTTGGGAATGTATCGAAAGTGGAGTGGATCCATATTTTCCATTTTCGCATCAGGCTCAAACCTTTCACTAATATTGCGATATGAAGATCGGGATTAAATAGTAGACGCAGTTCGATTGTGACCATTTGAGGGGGAAACATATGCCATCTTTGCACCGGATATAATTTGAAGGCATTTCACATAGAGCTACGTGGGAAAAGTATCACAATCCGCAATTTTCGTACCTATCCAGTACATTTCCTATAAAAATATTGCGAACAGAAGCCATTCATAAATATGGCTAAATCGAATTCAAGTGTCCTGAAATAAAATGTATCTAAAGAGACATATGCTCTAAGACCGCTATTTTGATGAGAAGTTTTTTTGACCGAATAGGATAAAAAGGAAAAAATGTCTTAATTTTTGGACCAATTTTTTCTTCTCAGCATCAGCGTACATATGTTTTAATGTTACTTGAAAACGTTCCACAGCCACATCGTACATACGAATCCTAACGACACCATTGTCACGTTCTTAGCTAAATCTAGCGGAAATAATCGCCATGTTTTTAACGTTCATTGTGAAAAGCGATTTGAAATCCATTCAGACACCTATACTTAGACACAATGATATTAACGCAAACACACACACATACAGAGAGATAAAATGTTGTTGAAACACATCACAACAACAAAGTGAGAAAAATACAACAAGAAAATAACAACGTTATTGTGTGGCGGTGTTTGTGTCGCAACACAATGCGCCTTTAACAAAATGGCGAAGAAAAAGTGACAACTCGGTGACTATATTATCCGCACAAATACCGACACATCACCATCCTCGTCGTCCTCATCATCAACTAGACAACAAAGGAAGTTAATGGAGCAATTTTAAAGGGAAAAACCTCACAAGATAAACACTTTAAGAATTTGATACTCTGAAAAGGTAATACCGAAATACGCTCGGAGCCCCCATGGCAACGGCAACAACATTTCAAAGTTAGAATTTAAGGTTTCCCAGCAGGCAAACATTCGTTACATTGGAGCATCAAT